AAATCGAATATTCCCAACTGCTCCTATCGGGGACACACGCCGGATTCTAGTGTGTGAGACCGGGGGTGGGGGTTAGGCTCAAGCTCGGATTGGGCAGGTGCGTCGACACGTTCCGTTGTCTATTGCATCCTGTTGTATCATGTCCCCAAATGTGTAACTCAGCTCGAGTGCCTTCATTGTCTCCCGCCCAGCATGGTCCCATCCCCCCGTTCCTCGGCATGTGTTTTTGTCAACCTGCACCTCAGGCACAGGGCACAGGGCTCAAAAGTGAATATCATAATTGGGTGGGATGCCTTGGTTCTGCGTATGGCTGGGTAGGGAGACATGTCTTGGCGGTAGGCCTCTCCCGTCACACTCAAGTTTGCTGTTAGATTGATATTGGAGTGCGCGCGTTCCCGACGCCGCGTGTGGTGGGATTATTGGGTGCAAACGAGCTCTGGGGACGCAGGAGGCCCTTTGATCCTGCGTAGTCCCCAGAGCCCCCTTTTTTCACTTGTTTGCGAACCTGGAATGACCTTGATATGGCCCTGTCGCCCTTGCGGACGAGGCCACGCGACAAACGACCTGGTAGCAGATACCAGCTCGTTCTGCAGCCCGCGGCCTCGCTGAAAACAAATCAAAACACAATACGGAATCTTGCATTGTTTACAGCCAGTCGTGGCCTGGTCAGGCTCCGGTTCGAGAACTGCCGATGTGACGAGTCGAGGGCTCAAAGTATTAGTTAGGTTGTCGCATTGTGGCACCTAAGTTGGCTGAACGGGCATATATATATATGTTCGCTGTGTGTCTGGCTTTCGCAAGAACCTCATGCCAGACATTAAACGACCGCACCGACAAGGGCTTCCTACACAACGTCATCGAACTTGACCTTAACCCCTTTCTGCATAATGTTGGCACCGGTAGCTTGGGCGGCAGGCCTGCTCATCTTTGTCGGCGTCGTTGCTTGCAGATGGAAGTTTCAACAATCCAAGCCAACTGTCAACTTGGAAGTATGGCTGCAACAGCAAAGAGCCATCATTGACTTCAGTTTCGCCGGGCACTCCTCGTCGACTAAGGAAGGCAAACTGCTTTACCGCGCCCAGGCAAACCACCGACTGGTTTCCGCATTTGGTATCGACAACTCGCTCACCACCTACTCGACCGATGTTCACGAAAAGTTTGTCAAGTTGTCTTCTAAACTCATCAACAACTCCTCGAGAAGATGGCCAGAGCTGTACCTTGTTGCCGAAGGCTTCCTGGAGCGCAATGTCGAGAATGCAGCGGCCGAGCGAGGTCAGATCCGCTTGGCCGACTGCGTCCGCTGCCTTTGTCTCATTGTCGTGCTGGTGGATGCTTACAACATCAACCTGGAGGGAATTTCCCCAGACGTTTTCCTAACCATCACCCGTGAGATCAATAGACAGTGGTTGGAGTCGAAGTGCGACACAGATGCTCCCAAGTCAGACCTCCTGGCTTCGAGTTTGCGAGGGCTTCACCTTAAAAAAAAACTCGGTGCGGGAGTCGACATTTCCGAAGACACGCCCGAGGAAGCACTGGGGTTCATCATGCCCCAATATGAGACGCTCTGGCGTGTCGTGCTCCTGACGTTTGTGACGGCCTACCATCGCCAGGCCCGGACCGAGGACGTCAGAAGGGGCGAGAGCGTGCCTGGTTGCTTGGGCAATCCCGTGAAGGAGAAGGAGGCTTTGAAATTGGCCAAGGTAGGTCGGCCCCCCATGATCTGTATTGATGAAACCTCTGAGGTCCTTGACTGACGAGTCAATATTCTGTATATAGGAGGGCCTGCGGCTGTTCCCATCCAACAAGAGGATCTACCGTGCTGCCTGTGGCGACGAGAAACAACTGATTTCGGCCGATGTTGAGGCCAGTCATCGCAACTCTCGGGTTTGGGGGCCTAATGCGCTCAAATTCCGCCCGGAGCGATTCGATAATCTTTCCAAGTTGCAGGGCAAGGCCTATTTCCCTTTTTCGTTGAGCCCAAACCGGTGCCCAGCAATTGCCGGGTTTGGAAATCGCATGGTGACCATGTTGGTCGTTGCTTTGGGCACGACACTCTCGCCCAAGACTGGAAAGATCTTGTTTAATGATGAGCTTTTGGACGGAAATCCAGAGGAGCCATTGCCAACCGGGAGGGACGACATGGAAAGCTGGGCGTTGCTGCTGAGAGACGCCTCTGGGTCCTGATGGGGAGTTGATCGGGTGCTTACTATTATCAGTAGAGATTTTTTTTTTAGAAGGTCCCTGGGGAGGATGGCTGGACACGGATTGCAGCGTGGCCTCGTTTAGGGTTCATCTGAGCTTTGCTTATTATTTATTACCTCGGAATATTTATTACTGTGCTGCTGCTTGTACGAGGTGTACGCTGGCACGCCGAAAGCATGTCAGCCTGGACTGTCGGAGGCCGCCTTTGGTTTACTGTGTATGTTCATAGGTATGTACCTCGCAAAAACCATCAAGAGTCGTGCAACAACATCCCATCGCTGTAACGCGGGGTCGGAAAGGTATCGGAACGCAGGCAAGAAAAGCAATTGGAGGAAAAGCGAAAGTAAAGACAAGGCATGAGGAGGTTGGCCGATGAAAACAGTGCCAGTGCGCCACCAATCGCTGTATCTAGCTCGGCTCTGCACGTCTGACGCCGTATCACCCAGGCACCCTTCCTGTTTCCGGTCAGCGTGGCAATCGCCCAGGATTACATGGGGTGCGATAATTTGTCGTCTGACTTACCCACTTTCCCAGCTCACTTCCCCACCGTCGCTCACTTTTATGTCCCACTTGATGTCCCGCGAGACATAACAACGCGAATTGACCTCTCCAGGCCTTTAATTTTTGGGTTACCTCGCTCGAGTCGAATCGAATCCCAGATTCTGTAGTTTATCCGGTATTAATTGCCAGTATGTCACTTTACCTGTGGTTGGCAGCGGGGGTAGGTGCAGTCATCCGTGTGTTCTCGACACTATCATCACCGCAGCTAACATGTCCCGATAAATGCAAAGGCGGTGGCTGTTTTAACAATCGCCAAATACATTTCCTATCGCCGGAACCCCCTAAACAAGTTTCCAGGCCCGCTGTTCTGCGCCATCAGCGACGTGAGTTCGCCTTTTCCGAAACGTGGGCACTGCAGTTGATCTGACGTCGAGTGTTCAAAGGTCCCCTATGCCTACCATTCAATGATAGGCGACCATCCTAGATGGATCGCGGCTCTGCATGACAAATATGGTATCTTGTAACCCTCGCCGCCCTCGGGTTGCATGACATTCTGACGGAGCCAGGCCCCGTGGTACATATCGCCCCGAAGGAGCTGGCCTTCATCACAGCCAGCTCCATCCGAGACATCTACGGCTACCGCAAGGGCCACCAGGTCTTCACCAAGAGCGGGGCCTACGATGCCGCCGCATTCACAGCCCAGACGCGCTCCGTCGTCAACGAGCGAGATCCCGTCGAGCACGCGCGGATGCGGAAGATGCTGGCGCCTGCTTTCTCCGACCGGTCGCTCCGCGAGCAGTGGCCCCTGATTAGCAAAGTCTGCGACACCTTCATGACCGAGGTTGAGAAGCACGCGCGCGACAGGCGCACCATCGACCTTGCCAAGTACTTCAGTCTCCTTACCTTCGATGTAATTACCAACCTGGCGCTGGGCGAGTCGTTTGGGTCGATAGAGTCAGGCAAGGTGCATCCTTGGCAGACCTTCTTCATGAACGGGGCGAGAGCCATGGGCGATGCCATTGTTGTGCTGAGGTTTCCTGTGCTAAAGAAGCTGCTGCTCGCGCTGCAACCGCCGCAGATGAGGGCCATGATCAAGGAGTTGAGGATGCACGAAGCGTTTACCGTCGAGTTGGTGAGAAAGTAAGTTGGTCTCAGGGCTCTCGGCCATGGATACCTGCTAATTTTGCCCTTCCCAGGCGACAAGAGATCCAGAATGACCGCCCGGATATCATTGGCCGTATTTTGCAGCGTCAGGAGGTGGAAGGGACCGAGTTTTCAAACGTCTTCATTGCTGCACAGCTCTCTGATGTCGTGATTGCCGGTACTGACACCACGGCTACGGCCCTTGATTCGGCCAACTACTTCTTGATGAAGAGTCCCGAGGCGATGCAAAAGCTCCGGGGCGAGATTCGCAGCAGATTCAAGCGATACGAGGACATAACCCCCGCAACGACGATCGATCTGCCATACCTGAACGCCGTTATCGAGGAAGGTCTACGCCTCTTCTCCCCCGTGGCATGGCCGCCTTCGAGAATCGTTCCCCTGGGAGGTGACACTGTGGACGGCCATTTCCTTCCTGCTGGTGTAAGTAATGCATCGCTCCTTGTTAGGCCTGTGGGGATGAATGGTTTACTGATTGAGTTTGCTGCCAGACTTGGGTTTCCACCAGCTACTACGCAGCACCCCACTCTGCGTCCAACTTTAAGGATCCCTATGAGTTTCACCCCGAGAGGTGGCTGTCCAAAAACCCTACCGACAATCTGGATGTTTCCCAGCCCTTCGGTGTTGGCACAAGGGCCTGTATTGGCAAGCAGTAAGTTTTCTCCAGTTGTTATGATTCGAGTCTGGAAATTCTCGCGCTGACCACCTGGATGAAACAGACTGGCTTTGACCGAGATACGTTTGATCATGGCAAAGCTGCATTACAAGTACGATATAGAGGCGGTTGACAAGAACTTTGACTGGGTGGGAAACGCCGTGTTCCGCCTTCTCTGGGACAAGCCGGTTCTGATGGCAACGGTACGAGAGAGGGAGGTCGTGCCGGTGTGATGGAATGCCAGATACGGATAAGATTCCGGGCTGGAATCTGCTACGCAGTCTTTAAAGTTGAATTTAGTCGCATGTCGGTGAGCTTACCGTGGGCTCAACCCTAACCCTTAAGGTTTTTCAACAGATGCGCAAATAGTTTGGTGAAGCCACAAGAGGAGCCCAACTCACCCAGCCTTCCCACACTGTCAGATGCATGCCCATGGACGCCATTTTGGAAGCCGCCATTCAACAGATCAAATCCAGTGGTCGCCGTTGTAGTATAGTGGTTAGTACTTCTCGTTGTGGTCATCAATGAAGATCCGAGAGGACCCATGTTCGATTCATGGCAACGGCATAGCAATTGCTATTTTTGCCGTTTCTCGCATGTTGCTTCATTCCTTTAGTGTCTGATGCTGTTCGGAAAAGGGAGAAGCAAAGGGGTGCCGTAGAGATGTGGATGTCCCCCAACCGGGTAACGTGCGAGACGAGGGGGAAAAAAAAAGAAAAAGAGGCATTGAAGTTGGCAGGCAAAACTTGATAGGATCATCACCAATCTCTTGCTTTCACTCGGATACGAAGAGTCGAACCCCGGGCTGCTGAGTGCTCAGTATGCTCGGTGAGAGGTATCATGAGAGTCAGCGATGTTACCGCTACACCATATCCGATTTGTTAGAGACACAGCCAGAAAAGGGGACTTGAGAGGGGCGGTGGAACGGGAAAGGATGGGCGCGAGGGTTGTGCATGGGATTGCTAGCTTGGAGTACCTCCCGGGTAGTCCCTGAGGTACAAATCCCTGAGGAGGACGGCTTGGCTTGACTGTTGTGTAAATTCGGGATACATCTGGGTGGCTTGCACGTGACAGCGGGTGATTCGTTCCTTGACGCAATTCAGGGGCTAATGACCCAACACTCGCCCCTCATCATCCTGGTCATGACGACATCGCATGAGTCTACTTATTAAGGATGATCATACTTTCCGACGGCTGCCCATAGTGAAAGGCCCTCAGGTTCACCTTGCCGACGCCTATCCGCTCCCAGCCGCTCCTCATTCCACCGATGCGACGCAGCAGCAACACATTGTAGATATCGAAGACAGCAATGTCGCCGAACCGGCCTTCGTCCCAGTGCGGATCACCATTCTCGTTCTGAGGATCCGTGATGGGTTCCTTCTCCCAGTCCGGAAGGGGGACTGCGAGGGGCGGGTTTTCTTCATCCTCACCCGTCGCCCAGTCTTGGTGGTAAATCGTGTACTGAACCTCACGCGGCTTGCCACTCCAATACCTGTTGCGGCTGTTAGCTCGTTGGTGCTCTTATTCAATAGTAGATATTCTCCATCGGAGAGGGGGGGGGGAGATGCATACCAATCCCAGCCAAGATCAGGGGGCGCAATGGTAGCCAACCCCTCGCGTGACATGGCGACTAGGCAGTATGAGCTCGTCTCTGTAAGGTCGAGATGGGCTATTTCCACGTTGAGGTGAAGGAAACCTGCGCGGTATCCTTGGTGGTAAATGATGCGCTGCCAGGGGCGGCGCCGGTTGGCGGACCGGCTTTCGTCATTAAGACCGATTTGGAGGAAGTCGTCTTCGATGGTTCGTTGTATGAAGGGTGTGTTGGGCATGTCGCAAAACTTTGCCGACACAGCATGGCAGACAAAGTAGAGCGCGCCGTCTGGGGAAACTCGCTCCGGAACCTCCTCCCCGGGCAGGGAGATGGGATACGTAAATCGGAGGCCTGGATATACTGGGTGGGTGAAATAGTGCTCATTTCTGACCTTATCCCGTTGATCTTCCCGTCCTTTAGGGTTGCCCACTTTCATGAGCTCTTGGCTGTCGAGCCTTGAAAGGGCAAGGATCTCACCGCTGAAGACCTTGCGGGCGTACTCCACGACCTCCTCGTCCGTTTTGTCTCCTCTCGCCTTGAACGCGTCGATATAAGCTTCCGGCTTTTCCCTGAATAACCATTTAACAGTCCAGACGGGCCGATACGTGATGGCGTTGTACCAGCCCCGACCGCGGTACGAGCTGTTTCCTTCCCAAGCCGCCCAGCTCCAGCTTGGGAAACGGGAGGGCTCTCCCCCACCGTCCAGATATTCCCGCCTCTTTAAGATTTCTTGTGGGCACCACAGCAATGCCCGGTCAAGTGCAAATTCGGGAATTCCGCACCAAAATTTGGTGTTTGCTCCTTGTGAAATGAGGTCTGTCACACCCTGAAAAGCACTGACGACGTCGGAGTGCCAACTCAACTTCCGCTTCGTGTAGTTTTTGACGGCGTCAGTGTATGCCTTCCATAGCGTCTCCCCTGTGACCTGCAACGTGCCAGCCTTCTCAGTATCTGGGACCGAAGCGTATGTGTATATGGGCGTTGGGCCTGCCGAAAGCCCGTCGGGCTCGCTCTTGTCCTCTGCTATCATGATGGTCATGGATTTCCCCCCTGCCGTGATGGCCTTGTTCGGATGGTGTGCCTGGGTGGGATCGCTCCAGATGCGAACTCGCAAGTCATGTATTCGGGCCGTGAGTTGAGTTTGGATGTTGACCGGGGGCGGTTTGTAGTTGGCGTCTGGAACAGGGACCGTGTCTTCAAATGCCGTCCCGTGGGGGCAGGTAAAATGCATCTGCGCGCTTGTAAAGTAAACAGAACGCTGTGAGAGGTGGCGTTCTTGAAATGTCCAGGCTCGTGTGTTCAAGACTGAGCTTTCAATCTCGGTATACGGCCGGCGCGAGTCTTGGAACGCAACCACGAGCGAGATTCCTTGAACTCTTCCAGCGAACTGGGCCCTTGAACGAGTAGCCCTTCCAACGCCGGGAAGACCCTTTGTGGGATCTGAGTTGGTCGAAGCGACAACTGTTAGCGTAGCATCGCCATATATACTGCCCATATCTGATATGTTGGCTGTCTTGTCGGCCATGTCGTCCTGAATAATGCAAAGTGGGTCAACCCAGATGTACCGGAGACCAATTTCCCGGGTTACCTGAACAGCGTCGATGATTGTTTGGTTGAGACTGATTGGTGTGGTGTGCTATCGAGCTTGGGGTGTTCCTCTTCGCATTTCCGAAGCCAGCCGCTCAGACGCTCCATGTTGGCAGTACCCTGGTCAACGGGAAGGCCCTGGAGCGGCTTCACATCGGCTTCCGAGACAAGTCTTTGCACGACAACTCTCGGGTAAGATTCGTCTATGTCTCCAAATTCTACCTCCAGTCGCAATGCATAGCTTGGACCTTCATCGATGACATTCAAATACATCAAGGTCTTGTCCGCAATAGCTCCTTCGTCAAGTTGTGAATCTTGGTACGCGGCTACCAATGTTGGGCGTAGCAGACTGCAAAAGGCGCAATAGACCCCCTTCATCACCATCGGCAGCCCGCGAACTTGGATGGTAGTGGATCCCGGTGTCCGGTTCCCCGGGAGCCCACGGCGTGTCAAAAGAGCCTCAAAGTCTATGTGTCGACACATGTCGCACAGATATTCGGGATCGCTTTCGTCCAAGACTGTAGGGGAAGCAATGAACCACTCCTCGTCCTTTCCGTCCGACTCGAATAGCAAGCCCCACCGCTTGATGTAGTGGTGGTGTTTGTACTGTTTGAAATACTCCTCTTCTTGCGCTGTGGCGCGCTTTGCCTCCCGGCTATTGGCGTTGTCCTCATCCATTTCATCTCTTCCTTAGAGCCATATACGAATGCGGCCGACCTGCTCGCCGGACATGGAGTCCACCGAGTAGGCGTTCTTGTCGGCTATTCTCGCATCGAGATTACCGAGCAACTCCCTTCTATCTTTCTGTGCCACGGCGAAGTAGTCCTCGCGCATTGCTAGCACGTCAGGATTTTGGATGGGGAGGATGGATCCGTCATGGCCTCTCAGTGCTCTAAGTGCGTGGTCTAGGGTGGCCTCGGTACTGTGGTGGGATATGTTCTTCTCTATCACCCGCCTGAGTTGGTGCCTCATTTTGGGATGGCGGAATTGATCGAATGCTTTTGCGCGAGGTTGGTACCGCGAGGTTGGTATACAGTAGGCAATGCAGAAAAGGGACTTTCGTGGAAATGGGACTTTCGTCAAGGTGTTGCACTCACTGTTTATAGAGAAGGCATAAAGCGGATAGAGCGGCTGTGCAACTGCTTTCTAGTGGCTGAGGGACTGGAAGGATTTTAGGCAGGTGGCGATCTGTTGCTAGAGGCTTCGCTCCGACTAGGTACCTTAGCTTACCTTGTTGAGCTAGGGTCGGGTCGTCCGGGTTACCTTGCTATCCATAGCTCCATTCGTAGGTCTGAATATCGTTGTTTGCATAAAGAAAGATGGAAACAGCTTGTTTTGCAGAAACTACAGTGATTGAAACCCGGAAAATGATCCGACTATAATAGGGGAGGTGCTGGATCTCCCGTCGTGCTTGCCTCATCAACAACCCCCATCATCCGTGCCTTTCTACAGCTGTGTGTCAAGGTCGTTGTGGACCCCAATTTCTTCCGCTTCGAACAAGAGAGCATCCACAGATTCTAGATCGTCGTTCATAACGGCTTCAACCAAAGCTGTTTTGCCGTCATTGTCGGGAATGTTGACGTCGGCACCACAAGAGACGAGGGCCCGAATGACGGCGCTGTGCTTGAAAGTGACCGCCCAGTGGACGGCTGTTTTGCCGCGCCCTGTTACAGCGTTGATATCATCGGGTCGAGTTACAATTCGAAGGAGCTTGCGAACCAGAACATCGAGTCCAAAGTATGCGGCGACGTGCAGCGGTCCTACTGCTCTTTCTCGCCGAAATCTGTCATCCGACATGACTTTCATTGCACTTGCGACGTGTGAGTGTGCCTTCAGAAGGAAAATGCGTGCCAAAAAGTACATCTCCCCCGGGTCCTGCCCGTCTTCGGCACTCGATAGCATGTGTTGGCCCCAGTAGTTGGCAGCGTATTTTTGAAACGCAATGCTCTGCCCGCACCCTGTCGATACTTTATTTGAGGAGGGTGCTTCCCTGCTAAGCAACAGGTATGATAGACACATTTCCGCCAAGACTGTTTGTGGATTTCCAAAGATCGAAGATGCGTTTGCCTTGAGATATGCTTCGGCATCATGAGCCAAACTGACGATCTGGGTTGCTCGGTTAACAAGTAAAAGACCGGCGCAGACATCCGACAGCCTCCTTTCGTCCACAAGCTCAAGCTGGAACCACTCCCCGTTGGCTGATACAAGTCGTGTTGTCACCGCAGCCCTCAATTCGTCTATTGTTAGAGGGCGACATGCTAGGGCTACCCACATCAGAGCACGCAGAGCCAGGGTCGTGCTAAACCCGTTCTGATTGGAGATCTTCTCAAGAAGAAGTCGGCGAATGTCATTCGGCGCTCGAGATAGAGTCTCCCAACGTGACTTCAAACTATCGGGCTTACCCTTGATGGGTAAAATGTCCAAGTAGTATGGAGCAGAGAGGGGTCTGTCGCCAGATCGTGGCGGACCGTGGTAAGCGTTGAGGCAACCTCTGACGAATTCCTGAAGCTGATTTGGGCCTGACAAAGTTTCAAGGACTTTGTAATCCTCGGGTAAATCCGTTCCCTGCTTGTGCCTCGAGGTGAATACGAAGTGGGTGTTGTGAGGGAGCTGACAGAGAAATTCAATAAATGGATCCAAGACAGTTGGGGCGAACTCCGAGCCGCAAAGGTACTCGCCCAATTCATCAATGACGAGAT